AAATCCAAAAAATAACCAAGCCGGGAAATTAAATTTCCCCTTTTTTTTTTTTTTTTTTTTTGTGAAACTTTCAAAGAGGCGGCTCCTGTTGGAAGGCACCCAGCAGGACTCCGACCAAGAGGCCGCGCTAAATTTAGAGACCTTTATCTGACCATGCAAGGAAGGATGTTTTTAGGTGCGGTGTTCTGCGTTTCAATCCGATTTTCTTCCTTCTGCTCTGCGCTCGTTCCAAAGCAATAACTCAATGGAACGGAGGAAGAATATTATCTTATCGTACGTGTCTGGAGAATCTAAAGCAGAAGGATTTTCTCTAAACATAGCGTTTTGACACGTTTTAAATCCGCCGGCGCTCTCAGACCGAGGCTGGTCCAAAGAGGAGATGATCAGAGGGGTGCAGGCCGAATACAGCAGCGAGGAGTTATCGGTGAAACTAAATATCAGCAACATAAATGCATTACAAAACACAGAAAAAATATTTCCATGGGTCAAGACTGAGGCGTCCCCTGACCCGTCATTTAAGCACAAGTAACAATAGAGTATTCTCGTTCCTTTGCTCCTCCAGAGAAGAAACACAAGGAGAGAAGTTCAACAGTGGTTATTTGATATTCAAATATCTTATGACATGATCAGAGTTGTCCGCACAGCCCTCACATGCATGCTCAGTGCACGTCGATCCAAGGGGGACAAACTCAGAATAGACAGGTGGGTTAGTGATTCATGTCGTCCTAAAGTTATACGTCCATCTGCCGTCACATTTAAACATGCAAAGACATTTGAATTCAAGTGAAAATACTCCAAGATCCTCCTCTATGCATCAGATAGCGTGATATGTGTAGTTTGCTCTCTAGCTAATCCAGACAGCTATAGATTTATTGCAGGAAAAAAACAAAAAAAAGTTGTGACGTGAACGTTGCGATTTAGACATAGTTTTTACCACCACTGCATCTGCAGCCATGACCAAATATTGACCTCACTTATTTCCCTCGCACAAGCTTTATCTTCATTCATGTAATTTATCTCACCTCGACATGGCAAATGCTTGAAGTG